ATGTGATAAGTTGCATGTAATTCGTTTGGAGTGTGCTGTTTTCAGCTCCTTTTTCATAGATCTGTCTGGAAGAGTGAGAGCAGATATAAAGAACGGGTTTCCTGGGGAGGCGGTGGGCGCCGCGGGCAGTGCCGCAGGGGGCGCGGCGATATTGCCGAACGGAGGAGGAAGCGATGCGTTGGGCGTTGGGGGCTGCGGTTCCCGAAATATGCGCGAGCGAATGCTATGCGATGAAATTAGCGGCCGGTGATGTACGCCCGCTGTTCGCGCTTGGCGTTGCCTCTCGCACACGCGAGGGAGGAAATGGGACCTCAACCTCCGCGCGTTCCAGCCCTCCCACTGACTCGAGGCGACCATTACGCGCGTTCACTTTGGATTAGAAACATTTCGACGAACTCGAAAGTTTCGAATTTATCACACACAAAAGTGGGCCTTTACCCTTAACTCTTACGTGCTGTCGTCCATTCCGTACTGATCAGTATGGCAGCGGCCCCTTGCGTGATTTGCGTTTTCGTATCAATTATCGAAGGATTTTCAATTTCGCTTTCCCTCGCGGATTTGCTGCCTCTCCGTCCGCATTCCTCGGGTGGCATGTAGAGCCCCGACTCACACCCACTGTGTGGCTTCCCTGTCGAACGCCCACGGGTCGCCGCCCCCTTTCGCGAGCCGGTCGCGCGATAATTTTTCAGATCCACATCCGGTAAGCGTCCGCGGCTCGCCCGCGCGTGCTGCGGCGTTTGTGAAATATTGGGGCGCCGAGCGTCTGCAAATGAATTTATGGTGGTGTGGAGCTCGCGCGAAACGCGGTGTATGAATCAACTGAGCGATCCGATGGGTGCGGATTGGACGCCCGTGTGTGCGGGCGAGTGAGTGCGCGGACGTGTGCTGTCAGGGAGAGTGTTTTTTTTTTCTCCCCCGGCGGGGTGTGTCTCGTTGATAGGCGCCTGTGTATGCACCCGAGCCGGCCGGCGCCGCTCGAGTTCATCCCGCCTCGCGTGGCCGCGTGCTGCTGCCGCGCGCGTTTCACCTTGTGATTTTTCGGAACGGATAAGGCTCGCTGGGGCACTTACTGTGTAATTTATTTACACGCCACTCGTGTGGACGTGACGCGCCTGCTCTTTTCGGGCTCTCGTGTTATGTTGGATGTTCTCTGAAAGCGTCGCTGTGCAAGGAGAGGTTTTGGATGGGCAGTGTCCGTGATGGTGCATCGTTAACTCCGGGCCAGTGAAATACGAGAAGAAATACCGACTATGTGATTGAAATATGGGAGGATGCCTAGTCCGCGTGAATTGTCTTCCTTTCATTTCTTGATTTTTCTTCGTTTGCTAGTTTACCTTTAGACGTATACTTTTTCAACTTTCACTTTTTCGGCGTCTGTGTTTCCTTGCAATTCTATGTGAGTGACAGTACCGTACAGTTTAAATGTGTTTGCCCACGTTTATCGTGCGTCAAGTGGTACGTTGATATTATACCGTTTTCAGTTTGTGAAGAGAATCTGTCTCGGTGCATGCGGACGTCGCCTTCTCGCCTGATACTTTCGCCACATTTATTGCTCGTTTTCGTTACTTTCTTCCTTCCTCTTGCCGCCCTTTCATCCTCGGCGGTTGTCGTCTGCCCCCGCTGTTCTCGCGGCTGCGTGTGTCGGCGCCGGTCTGCCCCGAGGCCACGCTCCGTTTCGCCTCCATCTCCGGCGCCCGAGCGGAGTCGCCGGCGCCAGCTTTGTGAGGCGCCGCCGCTTTTACCGGCGCGCCGTTACATTTTTCATCTCGCCGCCCTCCCGGGCGCCTCCCCCTATGCGAGGCCCGTGGTTCCCGCCGACACAGAGGCGAAAGGCCTCCTTTCCCCCCCCCCCCTTGTGTCACCTGACGGCGACCGCCTCCGAGGCACGCGTGGCGCCCTCCCTCCCTCTCTCGATCGAAGACGACGTCGCATGCCGCCTCGAAGCGATCCCGAGGTGCCCTGCGAGGCCCTGCAGGCAGAATCAACAAATATGTCTCGGCGCCTGCCCCTAATCCACAGCAGCATTCTCCTTCCTGCCCGGATATCGAATTCTTCGGGAGGAGGTTTATGACGCGCGCGACTCGTCGCGTGCAGCGAAGCCTGCCTGCTCCGCATTTGCATACTGGGGGCGGTCTCGACGCGAGTATTCAGTTATAGTGAAGCGTAAAGTTTTAGTGGCGCCTCGTGGAAACAGATCCGATTTTATTCGCGTATATTCGGAACGCTTTGAAATCCCGTTCTCCTAAATGATATTAGAGAAAGACGTAGGAGAGTCGAGCTTTCCAAGTGGTGAGTGTCATCGACCTCGATTCTTGCGGAATGAAGGGAAAAATACTAAGGGTACACGGTGCTGAAATACGTTAAAGTTCAACCTTCTGGACGTATGATCAAGATGAACTGTCTTCAATTTTACTACGTTAGGCTGATGAAAAGAAATGTGTAGACCTAAACTTCACGCAATTTTTCAAACTTTGTTGTTGTCGTCATAAAATAAATTAACATGTTACATGCGATGTATCTAAAATGTACAAAAACTACAAAGAAAATTATTTGTATTGTACGAGTGATAAACATATTTTTCCTCGAAATGCACGGATTCTTCATTTATTAAAAGTATTTGTATTTATTAAAAGTATTAGGGTTTAATTGGTGAAGGCGAAATCTAACCGAATATACTTAAATGTTTCAGTGATGATCGCTGAGCGCAAAGAGGGGATTAGGGACAATAAAAAATAAAATAAATAAACGCAAAAATTAGGCTTTTCCATCGCCCACCTGCGCACCCGTTTTAAGCACCTCGTAATCCAAGGAAGGCCCTTTCCACCCTGGGATGAACGATTGCCTCAAATGCGCTCGACCTGCCTGTATAAAAGTAAAGGTTAAATGGCGTTACCTGAGGTTGAGGCTGGTGCCTCCGACGGGGAGCAGCGGCAGGCGCAGCACGCCGCCCAGGCGCATGGGCGTCTGCGTGCCCTGGTCGCAGTGGCGGCCGCGCGCGCCACCCCCGCCCGCGCCGTTGGCCGCGCCGCCGCCCGACGACGACGGCGCCGCCCCCGCGTAGCTCAGCTGCGGCTGCGACACGCTGCGCAGCACGCTGGGGCCCCTGCGCCGACGCGCAAGCAAGGTTCAATCTCTCTTTTAAAAACGGGTTGACAATGCAACAGCATTATACATTTCTCGAGGCGTTCTCTTACAACAAAATAGTGTTATGACTTGTCAATGGGCATTAAAATTACAATAATTACTAAAACATGCGTGTTACAATGACCTTACGTAATTTATGTGAATTATATAATTTATACACAATTGACTATTATCGAATACACTGGCCGTTGAGTACTACATTCTCAAAGAGTTTAGCCCAATAACACATGGCGAGTTCCAGCATCAAAATGAATCCAGAAAAATCAGTTGATGTCGCGAGTGGATATTTTTAAAAAAAAAATTGTGTTGTGCAATTCATCACACAGGCCTGGAACTTTCTCAAAAAATGAAATTATTGTCTTGTTTGCAATTGAGGCAAGTCTGGTGGGCCTTGACGCATATTACTTTTGTAATATTGAGCGGAAGTCGGCTGCTTTGAGATGGAACAGCCTTTGGCAGTGTAAAACGTGGATGCAAGCTTAGAAAGGAGTGTGTGGGCGCGGGCGCGGGCGCTGACCTGTGCTGGTGCCGGTGTCTGGGCGGCCCGAAGCGCCGCACAGGAGGCCCCGGCCCGGCCCCGGGCCCGCCCCCCGCGCCGGCCCCGGCGCCCTCGGGCCCCAGCTCCGCGGCGAAGCGCGCCTTGCGGCGCAGCAGCTGCACGGTGAGCGCGTACGTCACCACCATGATGAGCATGGGCACGTAGAAGGCCACCAGCGACCCGAACACGAAGAAGGCGCGGTTGTTGATGACGCACTGGCGGTCGCGCCCGCGCGGCATGATGTTGTCCTGGTCGTGCAGCCCTGCCGACCAGAGCGCCAGCTGCAACACACACTCGCGACGGGAAGCTGCTGGCGGAGAGCGGTCAACGCGTTACCTACCTCAGCCTGAACATGAATTTTATATTGAAACTCACCTCATTACCTTTCGATGCGATACCCATGCACTTCAACAAACTTGATCAGACTGTCCAGATACCTCATTACAGCTTCTTTAACTGCTTCATCGTCAGGAAATTGTCTCCCAAGCTTAATTTTTTCATGTTTCGAAATAGAAAGTAGTCACTGGAAGCCTGGGCTATACGGAGAATGATTAAGTTGTACGAAGCCACAGTGTTCGAAATATATTTTCCCACGATGCTCGAAATCTCATTTTTCCGTTGACCCATACGCCACTGAACTGGTCATCTCACATCAAGAGCTCACGGCAGACATTTGTAAGTGAGGCCTTACCATACCAAGACGTGTCCCAACTTGCCTGTGCACCCTCAGCCCTCACAAAACGCAGTAAGATACCTAGGTAGATAACTTATTGATCGTCCCTCGTATGTTGAGGTGTTTAAAAAGAATGCACAGACGGCAGGTACCGTGCGCAGTAGAGTTGTGACATCGTGTCGATGTTTTTACAAAAACATCGATTTATTGAAGCCATTTTTTAAACATCGATGTTTGTGTTTGATTCCCCAATTTTTAATGAAAAAATGTACCGAAAAAAAACGTATATTCTTAGATCTCAATAAATTAAGCATTCTTAGAGACCGAAGTGACCAGGGGGGAACATCAGTGCGACGAGATTTCGTTGATATATGAATGGGTGAAACCAGATCGGTATAAGTGATAATTTATAAATTTTGAGAAATGTTTTTCAAAGTCATTATCACTGTAGGTGCGTAAGAGTGGTGCTTTTAAGATGTGTACAGTGAATTAAACTTATTACCGTAAAGGCTCGTGTCGCGTTCATGAGCTGGAATAGCTCTGATCAATTTGCGACAAGTGTGACTTTGTTGACGCTTTTATATGACGGGTGTTGATCTACAGATATATTATGTGCGCCGATTGTACGTTATATGAATGAATATATTAATTGAATGGTGTAATTGTAAACTGTTTATCAAGCTGCTCCAAAATTATAAACTGGAACAAGCGGTGATCAAACATGACGCGAGCTGGTTCAATTCCTAATGAGAATCAAATTTGTGAAAATCTATTAAACTATTATGGCCAGCCATGCAAACTGTTTGTAGCGTCGTGTTTGTGATATAAAATGTAATTATGACTGAAACTGGATGTGATTTTATTGGAATTCGATGCACAATACATGTCTGTCTACTATTTGTGACGTGTGTGATGATTTATTACGCAAATGAATGATAGGAAATAACAGGATTTGAATTGGCGGAGCGTTTTAATCCTACGCTCAGCTTTTCCGTTGATTTGGCTGTTGAACGTCATTTAACTACGCCGATGAATGTAAGATCACGGCATCACCCCGTATTTCTTGTCAAGGGGTCGCGTTGCCTCTCCTCGTTGGATCGGCCGAATTTCACTTCACACCGGCGTATTAGAATATAAACGTATCGACAATTAATTGTGAGTGTAGAGCTATGGGGTGCAAATAGCTATTTTGTTGGCAATACTAAAAATTAGGTGCGTTGTTTGCTAATTGTTGCAAATAAGTTTTATTTATTTCTGGAGCGAAAATATAGTTTACTAAATGTGTGCTAACCTCGTTTTGTTGGTCATTCAACATAGTACACAGTTAAAAGGTGGGGAATGGCTTAGATCACACGTGCGTTCTCTTTTGGACGCAACGCGTGCGGTGCGCGCGCGCTGCGAAGCGGGCCTCTTACCGAGCACGGTGATGGACGAGGAGACGAGCATGGCGAGCAGCCAGACGAGGGCGATCTTGAAGCCCACGAGCCGCTTGGTGCTGTAGGCGTGGCGCGTCTTGAGCGGGTTGCGGATGCCCAGGTAGCGGCCCAGCGAGATGAAGCACATGTGCATGATGGAGGCCGAGCACGCCAGCACGTCGCACGTCACGTACACGTTGCACCACGCCACGCCGAACGGCCAGTACCCTGCGCACGCGCACGGCGCGGAATGAAAAGGCGTCTTGCTGCCTGGCGGAGGTGGAGGAAAAGCGGGTTTCTACTTGGACATGCGGTTTTTCCATGCTATCGCAACGTCGGAAACAAGGGGGCAGAGAAAAAAAAATCCTTAAACACAAGAGTTTTGAAAAGGAGATAATCCGAATGTGGGGGGCGTGAAAGCACAACACGTACTGACAGTTATCGTAGCTCTGGGATTTGTGTCGCAAAAAACTTGTCCAACTTTTTAGTCGTTCGAAAGTCTGAGTAATGCACGATTCCGCGTAATCGAAAACACCTGTATTATGCACAGAATATTGTGGAGACACAGTAAATCATTGGGTCTGCTTCTTTGGAAGCTGCTTACAACCTGGAATAATTTTATGTTAACTTTCAGCTAACATTGTTATTCGTGAATTTAGAATAATAATAATAATAATAATAATAATAATAATAATAATAATAATAATACGAAACCATCAAATAATCAGTACTAGCAACATCATTTCAACCGACACTGTACAAACAGCGGCATGACAGAAGGACCAAGGAACCAAAGTGGTGCATGTTCAGAAAGTATGGCTTGCAGGCTCATGATCGACGGTCGAAGCCCAATCCGCAAAAGGCGGAAAATGCGCTGAAAAACGGAAACACGACAGCGACGCGACAGGGGGAAGGGGGCGTTGGAAACGAAGCGCCGGGTGCCTTTATTATGTTATATTTCGTGTGTAAATATTAGCGCGGTGTATCTCTTGGTTGTTTGCTTTCGCCGAGTGGGCCGGGGCGGGCCGGGCCGGGCCGGGCCGATGCGGGTGCGTATTTCCGCCCGCGAGGTGGCGCTAATGCACGGTCCTGCTGAAGCAAACACGCGACTCCCCGTCTCCCTGCAGCTCTCGCTCCGGTCGCCCGACTCATCACTTTCTTGCCTTCTCATCGCGTGGAGGAAAGTTTTCCTCCTCCTGTTCATTCGTTTATGCATTTATTTTAATAATGTTGCAGTGGATGGTAGGAGGAGCGAGTCTCATTGGCTACAATTGGATTTGGATACATATTTTTTTTAATTACCTAGACACACAAAAGTTTTCAAAAAGTTGTGTGTATGTCGGCGCGCTGAATCCGAATCAAAAACCAGAATTGCTTCATCTCCCTTCATTTTTTTAAATGGCGAAAAGAAGCGTAAAAATTACAATTTACAATTCTACGTTTTTTTTCGCGATTAAAAAACAAACAAACAAAAAGCAACAACGGGAGGGTGGTGGCGCAATTCTGAATTCGGATTCAGTACGTCGATATTCATAGAGAGAAACGTGTCAAGTGTTTGCGTCTGACTACTTTTATTTTGTGTGCCTGTGTAATTGTTTTTTGAATTTACTATTTATATTTAAAGACCGCTTTTCTAAATTGTTGCATTTCGCTTCTCTTCACTTTTTTTTGGTGCTAATTTTCCCGTATGTCATTTCCCGATTTGTTGATTACTGGAATGTGACGTTCTCGCCTGTTTCACTCTCTCAGCGGACAGACATAGTGGACTTGTGGAGTGGTCATTAATCGGGTTTCTTCGTGTTTCTCTCCTGCTGCGTGCGCTTTCTCCTCGTGGATGCTACTGCTGCAGTCCGTCAGGCTGCGCGGGGTGCAGCACCCAACACTCCCCCCGGCGCCCCTCGGGTCGCCAAGCTCTTCTTTTGAATGCCCGGCCGGTCTCCCTGGCGAGGCCTGTGCTGCGTCACATCAGCTGGAGTGCCACCGCTCCCCCTCCCCCCCGGTGGGATCCATTTCGCCTCTATTGTGAGAGCTCTCGGAGATGAACATATCGAAGGATGGCCGCGCAGATGTTCCACCGCCTGGCACGAGAATTCCTCGGTCTCGCCATGTGATAGGTTAGCATAGGCGTGTGATTTATTTAGCATTCTTTGGTTTTAATATTAGGATGCTGTGGCTGGCAAGGAAATAATAGCTATCCTTGGACGTGCGAAGAAATATATAAATAGTAGATGTGGTATATAATTTGTTTACATGCCGCTTAATTGAAGTGAAAAAGCATATTCAGACTTTGTTACAAGTGCTTTTCGAAATTCGCAATTCCTGCCTAAGGAGGGTCTGTCCTCGCAGGTGAGAAATGCCGTTTGGGGAGCCGCGGAGCGGAAGGAAGCGTTTGGAGGTCCCGGCCCGCGAGGGGTGGCAGCTCAAAGTGAGAAACCGCTGACGGGGGGGCGACGCGAAATGGCGCCGGCGGGAGGGGCGCCGTAACTCGGCGTCGCCGCTAACGAGACGAAACTCGCCCCCGGAGCCTCCGCGCGGGCTCTTCCGGGCTCTCTCTCCGCGCGCGAACGCGTCTCGGAGGGGCTTTGGGCGGGCGGGATAAAGCCGCGGTTTATTGTCGCTCCGCGAAGGGGGCGCCGACGGGCCGGCAGGAAAAGGTGGCTTTTCAGAGTACTTGAGTATTGGGTTCCAGCACCAGGGCGTGAAATTCTTAGGAGCCTTAGGCCAGGGTCTGTGCTTTCAACGCCGCTGTATTTCCACCCACCGATCGGCGCCTTCATGATCTCCGCCCCTCCCGTGCGCGCCCCCCACCACCCCCCCACCCCACCCCACCCACCCCCACCCACCACCACCCACCGCCCCCCTGCCCGTCGCCCGCCGCCGCCGCCGGCGACCTTCGCTTTGATCTGCGGTGCGCGAGTGCGCTGCGCTGCCCCTCAGCGCTTCTGGCGGCTGATGCGACTCCGCCCCCCTTCTCACTCTCCCCCACCCCCGCTCCGGCGCCCGCGCTCGCCGGGCCTGGCGCTTCTTCCCCGGCAACCACAGTCGCACAGGTGCGTGGGAAATGCATAATTCATTATTACTGTTAAAGTGGTTTTGCGTTTAATAGTAATTACTTATTAATATTCCCATTTATAGATGTCCCAGAATTTCCATCAATGTTGTAGAGGCAGATTAGCCAATGTATGTGGCAGATTCGTTCCCATCATTGCGAGAACAGAACTTCGCCTGTTTCTTCGACCGCTCTGAGTCCGCCCTGCTCTTGACTCGTATCCTGCGCGGCGCTGGCTGCTGGGTGCGGGGGCGAGTTTCCAGACGCGGATCGTCTCTGTCACTCACTCTCGCCCAGCGCAGAGCAGCGACCTTCTCCTCCCTGAGAAGCACCGC